TTTCCGCCGTCCAGCGCCACGCTACGGAGAGTTTAGGCGAGTAAGTTGAGTTTACTATCGTCTGTACAGTATGTAAATTAGGTACCGTAAGTCTAATACAGCACTAATTTTATACACTTCTTGTGAAAGAAACATTTCTTATTCAACGGCCATAAAAATTATTTATATTAACGATGTCTCCAAAGTTCAACGAAGTTTTCGCAGAAAAATAACTTATCAGAAATTGCACCCGCCGTTTGGTGTGCTGCTCCGCAACGAAAACAAGCTTAAGCAATGGCATTGTTGAACGGGGCACACTCGGTAAGTAATCCTACAATTTTTTGTTTATAGCATAGTTTATACGAATTATTCCCAAAAAAATATACGTGTTTTGGAAATGTTGAGTCAAATTAGTCTAGGAATCGATTAATTTTATGGAAGAAAACCTTTCAAATAGCCGTAGTCCATAAAGTGCATACGTGCCAGGCTGTGATTGTCAAGGACTCGTACAAAATGGATTCATAAAGAACAGAACGTATCTACCGTGTTATAGGGGGGGTCGACTGTATTCAAATGTATATGATAAGCAATTTATTACTCTTTGTGATAAAGGTTACCTTGCACAGTTAAAGTTAAAATTACAATTAAATTGTATAAATTAGTTTTATTATAAATTGGAGAGTATGACAAGCCTATATTTATAGCATTAATAATAGATGGCTATATAGCCTAGTTTAAAGTAATTAAAAAGGACAAGTCATTTGTTTAGTTCCTATCAAACAACAGAAGCTCATGTTCTTTTATGGTTTTCAGATCATGATTTCATTCCTCGTTTCTTTGAAGAACTGATACAAGTAACTGATACATGAGAGGAGAATGAGAGAACAAATCAGTTTACTGGAAGATGTAGATGTTAATTCAATAAGACTGGTCAGCAAATCACATGAGGGAGAATCGGGTATGTACAGTCTGTTCCAAAATTATAAACACACCCAACATTTTTCAACAACAACAACATTAACTATAGTAATGTATTTATTATATTAGTATGTTGTTTACAACATCAATTTAAACATTTTCTGAAAGTTTTAGAGCAATCTGACAATTACAGAAAAAAATGATCACAGATTTTCAATTTTTGAGTGTTTCAAAAGTATAAACACAGGTGTATAAAACTAGTATAATAATTTTTTTTTTAATTATTGATTTAATTGAGTGATACTTCCCTCTGGTGACAACTATTATTAAAAACATGGTGCTAATTTTAAATGGTTTTTGTGATTTAAACCAATGCCTCATGGAAAAACACTAACAGAGTTGGAAATATGTGAAATTTACCAACAAAAAGGACCAGGACAATCTCTAAGACAAACTTTGGCAGCTATAAATTGATCCACACGTGCTGTGAGAAATGTGTTACTTAGGGTGAATATTATGGCAGAAATAAGCGATGTGAAAGGCCTAAACTCCTTACCCCTAGAAACGAAAGAAAGGTTTTTCAGCTACTGACGGTCAACAAGTTGTCTGTCAGAGAAGCAGCATCAACATTGCCAATTGCAGTTTCACCAGCAACTGTATGGAGATGTATGCATAATCATAAAAATGCCAAATTTACAAAAATGGCTGCCAAACCAAAATTAACACAATTGCACAAAACAACTAGATTAAAGTGGGCCAAAGACAAGATGACATGGAAAGGGGTGTAGAAACAAATAGTCTTTTCAGAGAAAAAAAGTGGAATTTGGATGGACCTGACAGTTATAGTCACTACTGACATGATTTGAAGAAGAATGAAGTCAGATTGCAGACAGAAAGGTGGAGGAACTGTAATGGTGTGGACAGGATTTGGATGGGGAGGTAAAACTGATATTGTATTTATAGAAGGTAGATTGAATTCAGAAAAGTATGAAGAACTGTTGTATCAAAATTTAATAACTTTTGGATCACTTATTGGGGGATAAAACTGGCAATTCCAATGGGATAATGCTGTCATTCATACATCAAAGTAAACTAAAAATTGGTTTGCTGAAAAAAAAAATTAATGTAATCGATTGGCCATCATAGAGCCCTGATATGAACCTGATAGAGAATGTTTGGGGCATTACAAGTCGTCTTGTTTATGACCAAAACAGACAATACAATACTGTAAATGAACTGAAATTAGCTATCATGGATTGTTGGGAAAATATTAAACAAGAACAACTTCAAAAACTAGTAAAATGTATGCCTGATAGAGTATTTGAACTAATTAAATCAAATGGTGGACTACAAAAAATTGAAACATTAGAAATTGTTTTTCTTTTTGTGTACATGTGTTTATACTTTTGAAACAATCAAAAATTGAAAATCTGTGATAATTTTTCTTGTAATTGTCAGATTGCTCTAAAACTTTCAGAAAATGTTTAAACTGATGTTGTAAACAACATACTAATATAATAAATACATTACTATAGTTAATGTTTTTGTTATTGAAAAAAGTTGGGTGTGTTTATAATTTTGAAACAGACTGTATATGTTTATATACAAGTACATCAGTATATACATGTATATACTAATACACTATAAATAATAGTTGTTCTAAAAATAACTCTTACTTTTAACCTTGTAACCAGAGTTGTTGTGTTATATGTCAACGAACGTTTTTGACACCCCTTCTGGGCTCTTCCTCAGGCTTTTTCTATAAATACTAAGCCGGACGTTGAGAATCAAATACCTTCTTTTGAACCGTTTATCGTTCGAATCATCACACATGGCAACCTTTGAGCTAATTTATAAAGAAAAAAGAAAAAGAAAAGAGCAATGTTTTGTGTACAGTGCATGCACGCTGCAGTACTTTCCACATAAACTTTTAAATACAGTAGAGCCTCGAAAACTCGGCACTCCGGATAACTCGGCCACACCCTGGCAGGGCAAAAAAATAGTTAATTAATTTTTATGATAAAGACAGCTTTATGCCTCATAAAGTATTTTTCTGAGGTCTGTCTTATCAGGTAAATTACTGTACACAGTGTATTTGTAAGGAACCAAGTCCGGCGTTATTTTTATTTTACTTTTAGTTTGCTTTTATTATATTTTTGTTTGGGGCTTATGTTTAGTTAGGACGAAGGTTTCCTCACCCATCACCCCAGAACATTCAAAACGAGAAGATAAGAGATTAACCAACTCACCGACGACGAAACGACAGCGCCATAGCTAGCACTCGCACTCACATGCACGCCCAAGCGGCAGAATTGTAAGTCCGCACTGAAGGGGGACACCCCAATAGACTTTCTACGAACTTGTGTAACCTTCAACTAAACATCCCGATAATTGTTAAAGAAATGCTGTAAAAGGTTAACAAAGTATTGTCGAGAAATAAGCTACCAGATAACGAAGAGAAAACAAGAATGTTACGTGTAGATATGTAAATGAGGGGAGTGTCTCAATTAGAACTGTGACGTCACCTCAGACTATAAGTACAGTAGCTCAAGTGAAGACAGACGAGGTGAGCTCCTGAACCGAAAGCGTTGGTCTGCTGGTAGCAGTGAACAAGGTGTCGAATAGGAAATCCTAGTAGGAGATTGAAGGTTCGAGTTTGATGAGTTGAAAAGAGGAAAGTCTTCAGTAGAGGAAAAGGTTCCGAGTATTAATTGAGGTGACAGTTAGGATTGATAGTTATAAGAGAATTTGTATCTAAGTTAAGAGTTGAATTTTGTTTTGTCGGAATTCCAAGGGGAATAGTTCTAAGTTAGAATAAGACTTAAGTTTGTTGGGTTGATTGTGATTGGATTTTTTATTTAATAAATTTGTTGTTTGTTTATAAAACTTGTACATAGTATTTGTTAGACTTGATTAAACATTTATTATTGAGATTTTTTTTTGTGACTAACTTTGTCCTTAATTTATTTCGGTGCACGCTAAAAGTCCAGGCCTGGCAACTAATAAACACAAACCCGCGTAAAGTACCCATTAGGTCTCGGCTCTTTAAGAAAAATTTGTTGTAGAGCAACAAACTAAATATAGTACTTTACATATTCATTAATTTTCATTTTCATGTAGTAAAGGCTCTATGCCTTCATAAAAGACATACTTTTCCTTTGTTTAAGGGTACTTGGGCAGTTTTTTCTCTGTTGTATTCTCAAGTAAACAATACATACAAGTACAGTACAATATTTTCTGAGGAAACACTCATACTTATTTTTTTTAACCCCATTCCCGATAACCCGGCATTTTCACAAACTCGGCCACCCTTCGGTCCACATTAGGCCAAGTTTTCGAGGCTCTACTGTACTATCATCTAGCAGGATCTGTAATAGCTGTTCTTTCACATAAGTAATAAGTAATAGTTGTTCTTTCATATTTCGAATAACTAATACAGTAGAGTCTCGAAAACTCAGCCTAATGTGGACCAAAGGGTGGCAGAGTTTGTGAAAATGCCGGGTTATCGGGAATGGGGTTAAAAAAAAAATAAGTATGAGTGTTTCCTCAGAAAATACTGTACTGTACTTGTATGTATTGTTTACTTGAGAATACAACAGAGAATAAACTGCCCAAATACCCTTAAACAAAGGAAAAGTATGTCCTTTATGAAGGCATAGAGCCTTTACTACATGAAAATGAAAATTAATGAATACACTGTGTACAGTAATTTACCTGATAAGACAGACTTCAGAAAAATACTTTATGAAGCATAAAGCTGTCTATAATGAATATAAATTAACTAAGGATTTTTTTGCCCTGCTAGGGTGTGGCCGAGTTATCCGGACTGCCGGGTTATCAAGTGCCGAGTTTGAGACTCTACTGTAGTTGTTCTTTCATATTGTTGCAGGAGACTTCTCTTGGACTGATTCATCCACACGGTTGTTGATAACAACAAGATTAAATATGGACAGTGAGTTTAGAAAACCAATAAGAAAAACAAAATTATGGGATTCAATATCAAAAAAGTTGGAAAGTCATGGTTACACTGCTTCTCCCAGTGGCTGTGATAAAAAATGGAGAAATCTAAAGACGACTTACAAAAGAAATAGGGATAAAGCAAAATAACACACTGGAGAATCTGCCATCACCTGGCCATACTTAAGTTATTGGACCAGGAACTTGGATCTAGAGTGGACATCAATCCTCCAGAAGAAAATATCATTTCTTCTGAATCACGCATGGACCAGATCCCATCCAGCAAACCTTCAAGCAGTTTGTCAGGACTGCCTGCCCACTCTGAAAGTGATGTGGCAGCAGTACATCCCCCTTCAGTAAAAGCTTTTCAGAATCATGTAAATTTAAAAAGAAAAGAAGATCCACCAGATTGGTTTCAAGCTTGGGCCAGTAAGAAAGAACAAGAAAGAAAAGAGGATTGTCAGAGAGAAGACCAGCGCTGATAGGAATTTAAAGAGATGGAAGAATAACGCTTGAAACAAGAAAAAGAATGTGAAGAGAAGAGAATGAACATGATGAGTTCTCTCCTAAATGTTTTACAAAAACTTGCAGAAAAATAAAATAACAATAGGCCTATGTGAATTCATTGCAGCTGATTGTTTTATTTACAATAGTTTTTACATTTGATATTTTAAATCTTTTTTCAATTTTTACATTTCCCCCAATTATTTAACTTTAGTATAATTCAATGAATTGTATTAGTGAGAATAACATTTATTAAATGATTTCATATAACTAATGAGAAAATGATAAAATTGTACATAAAATCTTAAATTTATATGATTTTACACATTTATTTTAAAGTTTCTGATAATAAAGGCTGATAAATACATTTCTAACACACCGGTTTAATATATGCTGGGTTGATCAGCCAGTTTCAAATATATTATTGTATTAAAAACATAAATTTCGTCTAGTGTCCTCATATCATTGTATCCTTACACTATATTATCACTTTCTTGTGAATTGTCTCCTATACAACTACTTTGTAATCTCATGACACCATAAAGATAATCAGCAATAGCATCCCTCTTATTATTTGCTGCATTCGTTGAATGTTGGCTTGGGTGAGGCTGGAAAGGAGTGAAATGTTTATCCTCATCTGGACTAACATCACTTTGTAGAATACAAAGATTATGTAAAACACAAGCAGTAAGAATAATTTTAGTCAAGTATTGCTTGTTTTTTACAAACAAAAATTTCAGTTGACGAAAGCATCCAAACAGATCACCGTATGCTTGTTCTATTACTATGCAAGATGAACTTAGTCTTTTACTAAAATATTTCTGCTTGGAATTCAGATGTCCACTGTCCTTGTAAGGAACCATCAAATATGTCTCTAGTGGGTATGCTGAGTCCCCAAGTAAATGGCAGTTCTCTGGGAGTGGGAGCGTTTTATTTGATAACCCAATCCCTACAACACTATTTCGCCACACCCTTGCATCATGTGCAGATCCCAGCCAGCCAGCACAAACTGCAGTAAACATTTTGTCATTTCTGCAGATCCCTGTTACTTGTATTTTTTTACTGTTACTTGTATTAATTACTGTCCCATCAACACATCCAAAGACATTGGAAAGCTGTTTCTATCCCTTAATTTAATGATGAAAAGTTTTTACCACTTCTTGAGCATCCTATCAACTGGCCATTTAATGAAAATTTCTTTTAAATTACAAACACCTTTACAAAACACCATGAATAGCCTGTGAGCATGTCCTTTATCTAGTCCAAAACGGTCACCTATGCCTCTAAAGGATTCCTGATTTCCTAAAATCCATAAGGACAATAGGACAACCTTTTCTTTTCTTACATCTATAACGGATGACAGTCCAATTATTTTCGTTTCTTTTAAATTCAGAATATGGCAAAGGTATTTGATGCTTTTACGCTGAAGTCTGAAGTGACCTTTAAAATCCAGATCATTGTATCAAAAAATAATTTCCTCATAATAGTTTTGTTTCCTGGCTTTTTTCCACGGTTGCACAACAGAACTTGCCATTCCAGCAATTACTTTGTTGTCATGTTCAGTTTCAAATCACTTATAAAGAACTCTCTGGCTATTATAACACCCAAAATTATCTGAACTGATTTTATTAATATAAGGCCAATGAAAAACTAAAAATTGCATTAGTTATAAATAAAACTTACAAACCTTATTATACTTTGTACGTGGTTTTAAAACTGTTACTGATATTCTCGGTCCACTTCTACCGTGTTTCCCTGAAAATAAGATATCCTCAGAAAATAAGACCTAGCACAGGTTTTGCTGAATTGCGAAATATAAGACCTTCCCCTGAAAGTAAGACCTAGAAAAGTTTTTTTTAGTCATAATGGTCATCGACAGATGGTTGAAAGTGGCCGTTGGCTTTTTGAAAATACAGCCACTGATTGGTCAGCAGACAATCACTCCATGCGGCATGATTTGCATAAGACTATGGCTTGGGAATCACAGATTTGCATAATGTTACAGCTGGTGATCGCTAATTGGTCGGCCAGGAATCACGCCCCATCACATTTGCGTAGTGCTACGGTTCAGTAAGCACTAATTGGTCATTGAACCCGATGATGACGTTATGAAAAGGTTAAGTTGAAGCGAGTGGGAAGTCCACTCCAGTACGGGAACTTCGTAAGTTCAGTTTGACATGACTGGATATACATCACTCTCGTTTAAATTAGACTTGGGAATTTTTTTGTTCAACAATAAATGTGAATTCTTCTTTATAGAAAAATAAGACATCCCCTGAAAATAATACATAGCGCATCTTTGAGAGCAAAAATTAATATAAGACACTGTATTATTTTCAGGGAAACACGGTAGGACCTACCTTGGGTAGGTCCTAGAAGTGGACTCTAAAACTGATTCTTTCTGGTGCTAGTAGTGTTCTATTTTGGAATGCATATGACTTTGATGCATTTGAATTTTGAATGCTTTCTTTTTTAAAAACTTTCTCTTTCATTATCAAATTAAGTGCACCTACATTATTTGCCATAATGGCATTTCAAACATAACCTGCCATGCAGAATTACTACAGGCTATGCTAAAAACAAATTCTGTACACAATATAACTATATCTATTCTTCAAACCTGTTAACCAGGGTGGTTCCTTTTTAATAGTTGCAAATGTTTACAAATCCCCTCCTGGGCTCTTCTTCAGGCTTTATCGAATAGGCCGTTACTGATTCAAACAGTAACGACCTTTGCAACTATTAAAAAGGAATCACCCCAGTTAACAGGTTTGAAGAATAGATATAGGCTATCCTAATACAACAAACGTGCCATATACACCAACTTAAGAGTTTTGAGGCATTGGAGATATTTAAAGCAGACATCCAAGGCCTATGTACTAAGTTCAAGAATGAAAAGTAAATATCCAAAGCCATGGTAAGCTACATTTGACCCGACATTATGGCAAACAATGTAGGTGCATCTGATTTGATAATGAGAGAAAAAGTTTTTAAAAAAGAAAACATTTGAAATTGAATGCACCAAATTCATGTCAAGTGTTCTATTCATTCCAAAATAGAACACTACTAGCACCAAAAAGAATCAATTTTAGAATCCACTTCTAGGATCTACCCAAGGAAGATCCTAGAAGTGGGCCAAAAACATTAGTAACGTAGTAGTTTTCAAACCACATGCAAAGCACAATAAGATTTGTAAATTTTATTTATAAAAATTGCAAACCTACACTAACAACTAGCAGTATCTTAATGCCTGCGATAATATATGCTCTCGTGTGGCAGAATTCAAAAATACATTCTGGAAACTTGTGAATATCTCACAAAAGGGTCACATTTAGACCATTTATTCCTTTAAATTATTTACTCTTACCAGCATGCATGGTTTACAGCTCTGATTAGGTCCCAACTGCCTCATTCAGAGCTGAAATTGTATTGCAATATAGACTATAAGCAGCTCATAATATTACCTGTATATTATGAGTTGCTTGATTAATGCACAAACTTTAATTACAGCAATCCCTTTATATATATAAAGTGACAGAAGTTTTAATTAACACAGTTTTACTAGCTATCTTTGCTTAACATAGATACCATCTTTAATTAACACAATTTTGATATTTGCAGTAGTATAGAGTGGTTAACTGCATTAATCAAGGGATGACTGTATACATATGATATAAAAAAAAGGAAAAAAGACACTTAGAGGCAATTATTGATCTTATCGATAATTCAAAAATATCAAAATTTCAAGGTTTTGATTACAAAAAACATCAAACCATCATCAATGGATCACACATAGCATGAAAAAACCTTCATGCATGCAAAACCACATTAAATTTAAAAAGTAATAATAATAATTTCAACAATAAAATGACTTAAAATACATAAAGATATTTAGATCATTCTACATTAATATTGAGAAACTAACAAAATATACAGAAAAGATTTATTTAAGAAAAATAAAAACAACTTTGAAACTAGAGACTTGGAGCAAAGCTAAAGGAATCAAACTAATATCAAACATACGATATACGGCTAATTATGAAGAACAAGTCAAAAGTATATACACATCATCAAAATACTGGAAAAAGTTTAAATTGTTAAGAATTTAAACAAAGGAAAGACTATAAAAGGAAGCAAAAATAAATATGACGTACTTGAACCTATAACCGATGTGAATCAAATAATTTTTCCACGACGAACGTTTTCATAACCCCTTCTGGGCTCTTCTTCAGGTGAAACAGCTGGATCGAACACCAAAAACGAAATTCGAAAAATACAAATTCTGTCGAGTTTGAATCGTTTGGATCGTTATTTCGTCACGTGATATGTTTGAACGTGATCGAAGTTAACGATGAACATCCAAATTCAAGAGAAAGATATTATTATGATACTTAAAAACGTGCGATTGTGATACATAATTATTCAATACTGTTCTCACATGTTCCCCAGTACCTTCTATTTTTATTTTTTTATCTTATTTTAATATTTAATAAATAGTATTTCGCTGTTACTTTGTATGTAGTAGGTTTTGCCATGCCATGGAAAGGCCGATTTCATCTCTTGAATTAATACAAGTGGATGTGTCGTATACTCTAAAAATTTCCATCTCCTCCAACCATTTTAGATGGTGCATGTGCGGTGTGGTGACAATTATCTGCGCTCTATTGAAGTCCGCCACTATTTCGGGATCAGTGGCGTAAGTTGAGAGTGAAGTTGTATGTCTGTTACGTTGTACATCCAAGATGTGCTCTTTTATCCTAACCCCTAATGAACGTTTAGTCGATCCTATGTATACCAAATCCCTGTTAAACCGGTTATCTCTGAGAGGGATTGTATAGACTGATAACTTCTCCACCGTGGATTGGTCCTTTTCGTTGCATAGGATATCGAACAAAGTGCTGCACCTTCTGTATGCTAGGGTAACTTTTCGTTCCTTTGCGATGTTATATAATTATTGTGTGCAGTAGATGTTATATAAATTATGAGTTGCTTGATTAATGCACAAACTTTAATTACAGCAATCCCTTTATATATATATATATAAAGTGACAGAAGTTTTAATTAACACAGTTTTACTAGCTATCTTTGCTTAACGTAGATACCACTTTTAATGGTGTGCAGTAGATGTTATATAATTATTAAGGGAAGCAAAAATAATCATCAGATTCCTCCTAACTACTAAAAAAGTGAAATCATAGAAAAGATTATTCCCAAGAAACAAAGAACAAGATGCACATGAAGAAGTCATTCAATACAAAACACAAGATAAAATAGTTTCAGAGATTACATTATTATCTGAGGACTAATTCTTTAATTATCAAATTAATAAAGTTTCAATGAATTACTTGAATTAAAATGAAATTAATTACAATAATTGTATATATTACAAATCACTTTTACAACTGAAATTCAAGTTTTAATCAGTTTGTTTTTTAAAACTGTTTATCACTACTTATATACAATTTATGTTTGTCAGATGTTTGTGATAAATGCAATTGAAATTCAATGCTAAGTTATTACCCAAAGTGGATTCAAATTAAACAATACTTGTCAAATCTGTCTTACATTGATTTGTACAGTTATGAATAACCACAGATATCAAATTATTATTTATGATACAATAGAAAACAAAGTTTTAAAATTAATTTCAAATACTTATAATCAAATACTTAAAAATTAAAAAGAAAATTCACTTTTATAAATACTTCTAATGATAATACTTAATTTTATTATTAAAATAGCTTCTAAAGATATATTTAATCGTTGTATTTATTATAATTAATCAAAATAGCAACAGATTTCTTTCTGAAGTAAATTTCTTGGTGCACTTTTATCACATACCATTATGATGATGCTTGTACGATATTAAATCGGTAAATAATTTCTTTTCGAGAAAATCGGCAGATTCTACGACGCTAATCGCATCCAAAAAGCATTATACGCTTATCAATATTTACTCAAAAAAAAAACTAAATATTTTCTCACCTTTTGTTCAGACTTTTAAGAACGATCAAAATCAATAGAGCGTGCGCAGTACCAGCGGCTTGGCGGCAAAAAGAAGGCGGGAAAATATTTTTAAATTCGGTAGTATTATTTTACGAAAATAAACTTTAATAAAGTAACTTTAATAATTTGTCATCAGGTCCGTAAAAAAAATATTGAAGTGAAACATAAAATTATTTTTATTTCTTTTATTAATATGTTGTTAAAAACTCGTTTTCTAGTCTCGATTATAAATTTTGGTCGAATTTTAATATTTTAAAGACAAAATTGATTGGAAGGATCATTAGTCCTTCACACGACATGATTACAATTTTTAACTTAGGTTAAAATTGCAATCATGTCGTGTGGAGAAATGTAAATTAATATTAAAAAAATTTTCTACGAGATTGATAATGGACGCGTGTAGAAATGCACAAATTTCATCAATCATTTACTATTTTCTTTTTATTACATCGCTTTGACGGCCGGATGGCCGAGCAGTTAAAGTTGAACCTACCTCTCTGAGAGAACCGCAATCGAATCTGGACCGATCAAAACACCCCAAAAATTTTTCGGGAGTGATCCATCTTAAATATGTTCAGCCCACAGGCCGAATGGTCGAGCGATCAAGGTGGCAGCCTATCGCTCTGGGGAACCCAGAATCAAATCCGGATGGGTCCGTCCGGATATGTCGGGCCCCGTCCCTCACCACCCAGCCGCCCCATTATGGACCTGGCCGAACCCATAATGGGCTTGCTAAAAGAGGCCCTCTTAGTGCCCACAGGCGGAGAGTTAAAAAAATAATAATAGAATAAAACCCGGTAAATTTAAATCTTTTTGAGAAAGGAGTTAAAATAAAGATCTAAAACATAAAATTTCATAAGTCGCTTATATTTATTGTGTAGAATTACAAAATTGTATAGAATTTATTTTGTAATTTCCCACGCAAAATGAGTCGACTAGTTAATAAATATTTTCGTTTATATCATGAACCGAATTGCGTAGAATAATTTAAAAAAGATGTGGTTGAAAAAAATGGTCCGAAAATTATTTTAAAATAAAGAGGTAAAATTGCACAATATTAGAATAAAGAAAGACAGTTTTTTAGTCCATTTATTAATATTATTTTGTAATTAATTAACAAACATATTTACACGTGTTACGTACTAGAACAAAAAAATATACGAAATTCAAAACAAAATTTTTTATTTAAATTTATTAATTCATATTATAGTTATATGCAATACCGCGTAAATACTGTATTCTATCTATCGTAATTTAAAATTTTTAAGTGTCTGTCGCCCAAGATGTACCCATTCCAAAAGTATAAAACTTAAGAATTTTCAAAAATTTTAATATAAATATAAACACATCTGAATTCTACTTGCCAAGTTTTTTTTCTCTTTATTCAGGCAAGTAGAATTCAGGTGTTCATATCTATATTTAACATTGCTGAGAAGGAGAGAGATAGTGACAAAAATTTTAAATTCATTCAACAAAACTCTCTACTAACCATATTCATTTATTCTATATCAATCTTCATTTTACATTAAATATTAAATAGACATGAATCTCTTTTGTTGCACAAAGGCTCTAGTATGAATAACCTTATTGCCTGAGACCATTTTCAGTACTCTCTCTTGTTGAATAATGGATCTTGACTGATTATGAGTTTGAAGGATGATCCACCGGTCTAAATTCGAAGAGGGATTTTTGTTCTTAACAAATCTTTGGTCGTGAAAATACTTGTCTTCTGTACATGAACTTTCACCAAACAGTTTAGTATTTATGTTATTTATTTTTGAAGCCATATTAGTTGAATTTAATTTGTGCATTTCTTTGTTTAAACTTGAACTGTAATTCTTTTTTGCAGAATGTAATGGTGATTCTGTATTATTATTATTATATAAAATGTAATTATTACAATCAAATAAGTGAAATTTTGGCTGAAAAATTTCAATAAAGTTACCCTTATTTGCTGTATAAACATGTGTTATAGATGAAACCATTCTGTCTTTAAAATTCTTTACAGGTCTGTCAAATGGACTAGAAGGAACCATTTGATCAGCTGAAAAAATAAAACTTTTATTAAATTTAAAATGATAAAATAAAACGAGGTTTATATATATTTCATTAAAATATAAAAGTTGATATTACAATTTAAGAAAATTAATGGCATACTTGACTTTTTCATCTGTTTGGGAACAGTTTGATCAGTAATATTTTTAATGAAAAAAGGCGTAGATGGAACTTCTTGACATGACTCTATAACATTAGCAGAAAACATTACGGTAATCCAATATGACCGACACAAAATGGCCGACGATATAGTTCAGAAATTCCACCAGATGGTGTTTGAAAATCAGCAATTTTTGGGGCAAATTTACGTATTTCGTAGAATCTCAGTATTATTGTTGTATTGCTGTTATGGATTGTATTACAAATAATTACCATACTAAAACACTCAGAACGTAGTACAATCTGTATACTACTAAAAGTCTAAGTTTTCAATTAAACATTAATTAAAATAATTAATTCGATGTATTAGAAGTCTGAGTTTGTTTAGTTGTAATTAAATATAGAGAAAACCTCTTAAAATACCATTACATTTTTAAAAATTCTATACCCCAAACTAGAATAGAAACAAAGTAAAATAAGTTTTGTTAAAATCGGGAGGTGGATTATCGAGTTATCGTCATTTTCTTCTGCCGTCATCGGCAGAAGAAAATGACGATGACTCGACGTCACTTTTTAAAGTATGATAAATGACGATAACTGTACGACGTCACTTTTTAAAGTTACCGATTACTGTACGTTCTTTTTAAATTAACGTCACTCCACTGATGGAATGTTCATGTAGAGCACTTTTTACTTTTAGTTCATTCTGTATATGTTAAGTTTGATGAAACGGCCGTACTACCGACGAAAGCCTCTAAATGGGGCCGAAAACCCGTATAGCCGGATTTTTGAGGTTACAAGTAAATGAAAATATAAAGATACCGTACATGTGTCAAATATACATAAAAATAATAATAGCCGAGTACAAGCGTTACCTCCCAATGCGCGTGCTACGAGTTTATAAAATGTCGCTTGGCTTATATTTCAAGAAAGGCTCTCCGCGCCAACGACGTCGTTGCTCTGTGCCTTGGGTTACGGCATCGGTTCTCGCCTAGTCCCGTGGGACCGAAACTCTTCTTTATGCATTTTAAATAGTGATAAACGGGTCGAGGGTGGTCTAGTAAAATATAAAACTTATCGTCGTAGTCTTGCTTTGTAAATTATACAGTAATCGATAGTTAACATAATTTTAATTTTGCCAAGTTACTTTAAAATTCAAAAAATCATTTGTTTATTTAGTGATCGAAGCGACGCGACTCACGAAGGTTAGAGATTTCATATTTCATTTGATACACATTTTACATTGTGTTGCGGTCAATCAATCCAGTATTAGAATTTAACCTAAGCTAACTTAACCTTGTTCATTAAAATCACCGCTGATCCTTAGAGAGGCTGGATAGCAAAGCGGTTAAAGCGATAGTGCACCGCTCTGGGGAGCCTGAGATGAAATCCGGACGGGATAAGAAAATCTCAGAAAAGTTTTCAAGGGATGGTTTGTTCAGATATGTCAGATCCCAATTCTAACTATCTGACTACAACATTGTGGTCCTGTCCTATCCATAATGGGCTTGCTAAAAAAAGGTCTTCTTAGTGTCCACTGGGGAAAAAAGTTAAAAAGAAAGACAACACTGGATGCTTTGGCTAGTTGTGAAATGGACAAATAAGTAAATAAACGACTTGTAAATAAATTTGCCATATTAGATATATTTTATTTTTACATACACATGTTATAATCAATTAAATAAAAACAAGATAGTGCATATGTAGCATACTAGACAATACAATAAAAAGAGAACATAATTTTATATATATATTTGGAAGGCTGGATGGCCGAGCGGTTAGGTCGTAGCCTCCCGCTCTGGGGAGCTCGGGAACAAATTCAGATGGGTCGAAAAACCCAGGAATTTTTTGGGGGGCTCGTGCTTCAGCACCCGGCTGCCCCATTGTGCCGATTTTACAATTTTATATTCACGAACCTATAATGATCTTCCTATAAAGGCCATCTAAGTGTCCACAGGGCGGAAAGGCTCAAACAGAAAAAAAATCAAAAATATCTTAAGGACAGGAATTTGAATATTATATAAAATTATTAACTTTTCTAATTTTAAGAAATAGGCGTTTAAATTGATTTTACGAAAGCATTAAAAAAAATTAAATGTATAGCATGAGAAGCGTATGAAACACATATATAGCACGAGAAAGCGTGCGGAATTTTGGCTATTTTGTTTTACACGGTTTTGTGGAAACTTTTTAAAAAAATTTTTTAGTTGACCGATACGATCGTCGAGTATTATATATTTTAATCAAATATAATTAAAAAATGAGCCCTTCCGATGTAAGTATTTCTCTCATTTTGTTGTTTGTTGTCAAACGTGCTCGTTAAAAAGTTTTAATGAAATCTTAATACGTTTATAATATCAATAATCGCATATACAAATTTATCTTTTGTTATAGAGATTAGTAACAATTACATTGATACGTTAAATATGTAATATTAATAACGCATAGTATTATTAATCTGCACCCTTCATGTATATATTCTGTATGTTAATATAAATACAGTATATATACTACGTAGACTTATGTTTGAGAAGAAAGAATTATCAACGAATGAATTTTGCTTTATCTCATACAGAACAATGCATAAAACTATTTCTAGAAGCATTGAATTAGAGTTCTGTCTGAGAAAGAAATTTATCGATTTCGAATATGGAAATCTAATAGTAGTTTTTTCGATTATTGTAATGGAATTTTTTATCGATATACTGTATTATTAATCGTCAAGTTATTTTCGGTAAAAATTCATCTCTAAATGAGGCAGTTGGGACCTTACCAGAGCTGTAGACAATACCCATAGGAATAAGAAAGTCGAAAGGAAACAATGGTCTTTGTTAGATATTGGCCCCTAAAATCAGCCTGTGTGAAATTTTGAAGATCTTCAAAAAAAAAAAAATAATAATAAAATAAAAATCTGAAACTATTTCTCAAAACAATGCTAAGAATCAACTATTTTCCACTTTACTAGATACTAAAAGCACTGCCATTTGCACTGACTACTACTACACTACTACTAGGGCAGTGATTCTTAAGTTTTTATTATGTTTAATTATGAAAAATACCCTTGTAGTAATTCAACAACAAAAATTAATTTTCCAGTAATATTATGTAAAAACTCAAATATGCCTACTTATTTTATATTGAAACTTTATTACAGTATTAGGAAGCTCTTGACTGTTATTAACCCAGGGCATGTGATAAGTTGTTTAGGGGTACAGAAGAAAGTTAGTTATTATGACAGAAAAAATAATGTATTATGTATCACAAATTAATAGTATTAAAAAATTATTAGGTAAAAAATGTTCCTTGCAACAATCACAAACTTTATTATACATTTCAAAATGCAAAAATTGAAATAAAAACTTATGCTGCCAATTGTACAATGCAATAGATCAATAAATGTTGTGCAGTTGGTCAATGGTAGTGGGGATACCATTATGTGTGATTAGTGATTATGCTATGGACTTTTGATGGTGGGGTGTGTTACCATTATTCTTATTATCTCTCAACAATATCCCCATGTGTTGTTTGAAAAAGTAATCTTTTGTTTATAAAAAGTATTTTTTATTGTTAGCAAGGAAAAGGACATAGCTAGTTTCTCCAGATTTTCTTTACAAGCTGTAATTTTTTTCATTATTTATTCAGTATTTCTATTAATTTTTTATTTACAAGACTATGTCTTGTTTATAAAATCGTACTGCCTACTGTGTTACCAGCTTAGAAGTATGAAGGAGTACTGTACATGTCAAAAGTTGCAATTTGGCACAAACTATTAGATGCCCAAATCATGCATGCATAAAAAACCAGACTTGTAGGTACTCAGGGGACCAAGAACCGAGTCAAAATAAAATTCAAAATGATGACACTCTACAAACAGGCAATGCAAGATTTGTGCATGCGTTGCTTGTTGGGAAGTTGGAAATGTCACAGGGGTACACTAATGAAAAATGGTTGGTAATCGCTGTACTAGGGCATGATTCAAATCACGCTGTGCACACCATTAAGTCTATTGCGTGTTTAATTAACAACCAGATAGGCTGATTTTGGGGATATATCTCAGAAAGCGTTACATGTAGACCATTGGTTCCTTTGACATTTTTACTCATGGATGTAGTTTACAGCTGTTATACGGTTCTGTACCATTTTAAAATTGTAAAATATTGATTAATACAAAGTAAGTTTAAAGTTTTCACAGATAAATGCATTTATTGATGATAGTAATCTGTAAAAAATATAAATGTTACATAATGAAATCAGAAATACCCAATAGAAGAAATGCACTAGTTTTAAGATTTCACATTGAATCTTTCAAGGAACTTAAAAACATCATTTCCAGTTTTTGGAGGCAGAGTCTATGTTGAGCTCGTATGATAAATTTTGATGCTTTTGAGAACAATTGCCCGGATGCTCGTCACTGATTTGGCTGAGGTTGGAAGATACTATTTCTATTCTGTAAAACCCAGAAAACTCTGCATAGTCCTTACGTTTCTATATTCAACAGTTGATTCAACAGTGAATTTTCTGTTGAACGGTCTTATGTCACATTTTGTAGAAAAAAACGTTTCCATTGAAAGGGCACTTTTCATGATGGCCGACTTAATCAAGAAGAAGGCAACGATTGTGACTGTTTTGCTAAATAAGTAAAGTACTCGCTTAACCATTATTCTAATAAATCCTTTTATTCAAATGAACCCTTATCTGTAATCATTTTCTTGTATGTCTTTCTGTAATAATTTGAATTTGTTGAATATTTATATCATTAGGAAGACTTAATCAAAGAGGGCCAAATATCAGTTGTAATCAATTTTGGACAAATTTGTGGAGGTAGTTTGTTTATGAAAAAAAGCTTAGATAATTTGGTCAATATTGAATACTAACATAATTGTACAATCACATGCTTTATTATATACAGATTGTTCATTAATCTGTCTGCTATTACAGCATCCACAGCAAGAGCAAATGGATAGTTTCTATAAGCAAAATTTACTTTTTCATGGAAGCCATCATGTTAGTTTGTTGAATACTCAAGAGTCTTTCAGGTTGTTTAGACTGATGAGCTGAACGGTGAAACAGTGCTGATGTCATTAGTCTCAACAGAGAATTCAATGGTCCATTTATGGTACATTTATAAAGTTGAATGAGTTAAACACAAATGATGTCATCGTTATTCTTATTTTGTTAGACTTTTTGTCCGATTCGTTTATAACTAAATGGCCGTTTCTAAAATTGAAGATATGAATGTTGCTAGTGCAGCCTTGTCTGAAATATTTTTTTTAGTTTGCTTCGGATGGACAGTTATTTCTATCATTTCACCTTTTAATTCACAATTTAAACACTCTAGTAGATTCAGAAACATCAATATCGTCAGGTGCCATTTTCTTAATGAAGTAAACGAACTCTTTCCTTCGTGAACTTTGAAATGTCATCACTGCAGAGCATGCGCACTGAGCGAGACTACTACTTTTTGACCTATTTGTTACTAACACGTTTAACTTGTTCAACTTTATGAATGTACCTTTAGAAATGTTGTTTTTTCACTGTTGAGTCAACCGTTGAATACAGAAACGTACGGAGTGAGGCAACA